CATCGCAGTAAAGGGAGCGAATCGAGGAAGAAGTCTCTGCGAAGGTATAACATTGGATTATTTCAATAATTGAATTACCTATACGAAACCCGGTATTCCAAATTGAAAATTTGTATTCTAAATACAGAACGTCGCCAACACGACGATATTCGACCTCGAAGAGTGAATTTAACTTAACCCTAATCGGACCACGATGCGACTTTCAGTCACACTTGAACTTTTCACTGAAATTTTGTGATTATTTCATATCGCATTTCCAAAAGTTTTCCTGGGCTTTTAACCAGTTAACTGTGTTTGACGAGTATTACACGTCATCGTAAAGCTTGACATGATACTAATTCTTCCAGCGATGAATTCTTTATTTTTCCACATAAACATGTCATTCTTCTTTGTTTCGCTTTGAGCTTTCATTAAAATATACTTTACGTGCGTTCGTCCTGCGTTCGACGAGCACACGCTGCATTTTTCGAAATTCCACAGTTAACTGGTGAAAATTTCGGCCCTATAAACAAAAACAATAATACTTTAATCATTCCTTTTATTCTCGTAAGTGACTGAGAGTCACGTCGTGGTGTGATTCGTTATAAAAACACGTGGTACTATAGATAAAATAGTACATGGGATATTTACATATGCTCAGTTTACCCGTAAAATATCGCCATGTGTTACTATATTAACTCGATAATAATTCCGATCATCAGTTTCAAATGATACCAGAGTTATGGGCGAATTCATTAAACATGAATTAATTTGTAAATGATTACATCCTCCGCGCAAATATATGCGAAGTGGATGTAACGAAGCATCATTTATGTAGATTACTTGTATCTCCACAGTATTATTCCCATAAGAATGATAACACAGACCTGTTCAATGTGTAACCGCATGTTACATGTACTATATAGATATATAGATTCCCTAAACTATCTAAAACATCTATATTACTATCGTTATTATCACCATCGCTATCGTCACTATCGTGATTATTATTATTATTATTGCTATTATCATCATTATTATTAATACGATTATTGTCCCATGCATTAAACGTAATGATCGCACATATACGAATGCTAAGTACATGACAATCCTACATATTTCAACGGATTATTCCATCGATTTGGTAAAGAAATTATTTTACACAAATCTCGATTCCAATATCATTTATATCAATATAAAAATTATCGTCAAAAATTAAAAACCTTTGCGTTATACCAACAGTAACAAAAAATATATAAACATATATATACATAAATAATTGATAAAAATGTATTATTCAACACTAGAACCGATCATTTAATACGATTGATATGTAATCTCCATAAAAATTGTAACAATAAATTATTTCCAGTTTCGTTGGGCATTCATCATGGTACTCGAGCGAAACTATTTATTTCCAAAATCATTTCAAATAGTATTAATAACTGCGAAACGAACAAGTCGAAACCAGTCGTTTTGACCGGTACGGTGGTTCCAGCGTTAAAGATTAATCGTTCGTCGCGGTATTTTAAATTCCTCCCCAACGAGCGAGCTTAATCGGCTGGGGATCATAATTAACCGCAGCATATTTTTCGCGGCGGTAAACAACGTGGCATCCGTAGTTTAGACTTCGAACAAGTCGCGCCGGAAGCTACACGGAAACTGCATAATTCCACGGTAGTTTGATCAAATTGTTAGTCCGCCGGAGGACAGGCGCTAATAAATCTTGAACGAGTTAATCCTCGCGCACCGCCCGCCCTTTCTCTTCTCGCCGTTTCGGGACAGGGGAGGCAGCCACCGGGCAGAGTTCGCGTTGCGAGGGTCCACTGCCAACTTGCAAAATATATTATTCGAAAGCTACTGTCCGAGGGAATGGATGTTTCCTTAGCCGGGTTTTTCCTACGCTCGACCGTTCGATAGTTTCTCCAGGAGTTCCGAAATTTGGGGCAGATTAGGAAACGCTTCCAGTAGAATCATTTTCGCGACGATCTACGGAATGTCGCTATAAATTACAATTCGCCTTTCTGTATCTCTGAATTGTTCAATATTTTTTCAAGCGAGTGAGAATTGCTTTACGCGATAAACAGGAGATATTCATTAATTATTTTAAGATTTTCATATTTTATTTAATATTTTAACGTTTAATAATCAAAGTGACTCTTATATTCGTGTTCTACGTTTCTGTAGATATGCTTGACGTTTACTGACAAATTTGTATGTACATTTCGAATCTGTTAGCCTCGCGCTGTCAGAGCATGACTGCGCTGATTCTACTTACGATATAGCATGCAGCAACTCCAGCTTTTGTTTCTCCTTAACCTTCACGCTCCCCCCTTCGGCGAGTGCAACTTGCAATTCCCTTTGAAGAACTGCCAGTTTCCGGCGCTCCCCTTCCAAAAGCAAAGAGGTGACCTGCAACAACGAAAGCACAACTTAAAATTCGAAGAGTACGTTATCATCCGAGATCCGCGATAGGTAAAAACAATTCGAACCAAATAATCCAAACAAACAGTTCAAAATAAAGAACAGAATATTTTCCACTTTCTCGCGATCATTACACCCAATAACATGTCATTATCGAAGCAATCTGAAAATAATTCCAAAAACTTTACCCACTCAAGTAACCAACTTGTCCGACGAACGATACCTTTCTCCACTTTCTTTCAATCGCAGATAATCCTCAAAATCCACCGAATCCAACCAGAGACGAGTGCAGTTCTCTTTTTTACCGGTAGCCGGTTTTTACCTGCCACGGAACCGCCGCGAGTCATCAATCATGTACCAACAATCGATACAGAAATTCCCACGGAGTGATCATCGGGTAACGCAGACCTTATTCAGAAGTCGTTAAAACAGTTACGCGCAATTAAAAGAGAATTCGAACAAGAGCCCGATCGATGCACAATAAAACCGTGATTCACAGCACCTTCGGTACCATTTCGTTCGGAGACGTAGACAAAGAGCATTGTGTCCGAAGGTAAGAGGAAGGGAAGAGAGTTAATTAATGGAGGTACGAGAAGAGATCAACGAGCGCAGCCAGTGCAAAATTTCCTTTCCTGTTTCGTCCGATAGCGATCTCTCTCTCTCTCTCTCTCTCTTTCGTTCTCTTTCTGTCTCTCACCTCGCGCTTTATCGCGTTCCCGGGCGTGTAGGTACGGTAAAGCACCGGGCGTAGGTGCACGTAAGCAGCGTTATACGCGAGGAACCTGAATAGATATATTTCAGGAGATAGAGGAACAAGCGTAAGACTCTCGCGAAGCCGAGCTGCATGCGAATGCGTTCCATAATTGTCTGGAACCGCTGAACTTCCTACGATTATATGACTTACTGCTCCCGGATTATGCAAATTCGGGAGTGGATGAAGATCAGCCGCGTTTGCATCTTTCCCCCTGATCCGCGGCAACTATGTAAAACAATTCCCTTTGTCGCGCGTAACTGCGGGCGAACAGAAATATCACGCCCACGCGATTCTGGTGTTTCAACGGAACTCCGCGGGACTCTGGGACGCGCACCGGAATGAATTTTTTCGCTGAATTTTGCCTCGGAAGATTGACGCGTAATGGCCGCTGGGGCGCTTCGTGAATTGATGAGATTACTTTTTGAACGTAATCCTGTAACGTAGAGTGTTTGATAATCTATACTTACTTGTTTTCTTAAGTGATTCGATTCTGGTTGATTCATTTGTAAATTAGTGGAATAGTTCATTGAATTCTAATTATGTAACTCTATTAAGTGATCCAATTCTAGTGTCTTTATTGTCTGTTCGTTTGTGAATTAGCGGAATAGTTAATTAAATTTATTGTTTATTCGTGATTCAATTCTAGTATCTTTATTGTCTATTCGTTTGTGAATTAGTGGAATAGCTAATAATAATTTCATAAATACATCCAGTTGTCTACGTATTGTTAGATCTTAAAACAATTAAACTCTACATTAATTCTATTGTTAAGCGCTCACGTGTAATCGCGAAACTAATATTGTCACGAAGAGTTGACTATGAACGATCTACAAGAGCATCAAGGTCGAATTCACTTCGGAAAATAGAGGAACACGATGAAAAACTTTCTCCCCGGGACAGTATCGTGTCATCCGTCCCTTAAATAATGGAACCTAATCATCGTGGATGACTATTGACGTCCGCCACTATCCGAGAGTTAACCATCGGCCGGGCTATCGATAGCAGCTGGGTTATCGAGCCCTCCGATAACAGCTGTTCGATCCACTCCACGTGAAAATTTGATGCCGCCGTGAGGTTACGTGGATCACCAGGCGAGACGGGTGTCGGCTGGTTGCAACAAATGATACGATATCACAGTTTGTTGCCAGTTGGAAACTTCGAGCTACGTACACTATCATCGTTCGAATTTCACGTATAGTCTCCTCTTTTCGTTGCCGTCAGTATCGTCCCGCCTATACCCCCATTGAAATAACAAGGGAAAGAGCACTTAGGGATATTTCCTAGTTTCATTCAGAATTCCGTCGCGAAACATCAGTAAATAAGTTCTTTAAAATTAGAAGCAAACCTTTATTTCCGTTACAGTATTTCCATTTCTTTAGTTTCTCGATGCGCCATCGGAGAGTTTACTATTTCCAATGGTTCACCCGTCAATTTAAGAGACACCCGAATCATTATCGTCTCATTAGCGTAACACAGCCCTGTCGAAGCCGAATGAATTTTTAAAGCGAAAAGTCACGTCCGCATCCGATATTTGCAGCAGACCTGCTATTTTCACTCGGCCTGACACATGACGAAGTTCCGATACAGAAAAAACATTTTTCGAGGGTGCCGGTAACGCGATTACCGGACAGCTGATTGACGTCGCGCGGCTACGTGGGTTTATTAAATATGTAATTCATCGCACGCGTCGCCGGGAGAACAACAGCTCCTTTTCCCCCGGCTAACAAGGACGTCCGATTACGACAGACAGGATAATAACTCGCTGCTTCGTAATCGAGTCCGTATCGCGGACACATCTTTAATATCGTAGGGTCAGCGGCGGAATTACACAAACCCGCGTTTCGACAGACATCCGGAACAATCGGGTTGTGGTTCCGCGTTCGTTCCCCTCCGCGGCGGAATCAGCTGCAGTCGAAGGAAAAGAGAAACAGTAAGAAAAAAGAATCGAGAGAAAAAATGGGATTCGCGTCTTGTTACCGAGGCGCTTATTAACCCCGAGACACATTGCGCTTTCACTTTCCTCCCTGTAATTACAAATGCGAGCTTAGGCGATTCAACGTCGAGGATTACTAGGTTTCGTGGATGATTAGCGGGCTTAATGGCCGAGTACAACTGGCACTTAAGGCTAATTAGAATAATTTATGTGTTTGTTCACCGCGGTGGGGGGATTATAATATATTTACGTAGATTACGAGTAAGAAGAGCTTTACTTCTTAATATTACTTTAACGATCGCGCGTATGTTTCTAATATTACGCGCGCCGCTGCAGCGTACGACGCTCGCCAATTAATTAATCGCGAGAGCACGCGATTTTTGTCTACCGGCGAGCTAAAGGGCAACTATCAATCCCCCGATGCGAAACTCAATTATCTTTACGATCAATCTATGCAAATTTCGGCTTCGAACCGTCGAAATGAAGATAGTACCGAAAGTCGCTCGTTTTGCTCATTCGTGAACTACGAACGATGGAAACTTGATAAACGTTAATTCGATTGATTAATGGGAAAAAGACTTTCAATACTCTGAATACAAATATTCAATAGCATAAACAACTCAATAACATATTGGGTACCGGCTAACTTTCAGAAAACTGAATTTTCAATGAGATCAACTTATATCACTATACATACAAAAACTCAGACATCATAGTGTTATGTAATATATTTTAAATATGTAATCAATTCGAATCGAATTTAACATTTTTTTAAATGCTGTGGTAATTAGCAAAGTTGCATAGCTAAGTGTCTTCATATAGAAACGAGGTTTCTCGTTACTAGTACGCAACTCAATAACATAAAAGTCGTGAAAGTTCAACGTAAACGTGAGTCACTTAAGAATTCGCAAACATTATTGATTTAAAGATACTTAATCTTAAATCAAATATTAACCCCTTGCCTTACAACCACGTGTCTGACTCGTGGTGAAGATTTCGATCAATTAACAAACACAAATATTACTCGATTTGTTCGAATTCAAAGTGAATATTATTCTTCTGTAACCAATCATTATACTTAAGAGCAATCATAGACATAGAATATGCCCACAATTTTTCTTTTCCATATTGATTTTCTCCATATGTTGATAATGTTCTTTTTTTTAAGAATCTAGAATATTCCAAATATATGTGAGGTTAATGAGACAAGAGCATCTGAGTATATAAATAGTGTTTAATTTAGTTAGTGTTTTATTGTGAGCTGTAATGAAATAATTATACTGTTTCAAATAAAATTCTCTTTCTCCTACGAATATAATCACCGACGCTCGCGTTTAGTAGCTGAAATTTAGTCGGCGTTCGATGCGTCGAGCGGACGAGCACGGCGTCGATCGGATGCAAACGCGCCGCGACATATGAATGCCGATCAATTACGTTCCCGCAAAAAGCGGCCCGAGCTCTCTTTCTAGCCCGTCCGCCGGCGCATGCCAATTACTTTCGCGGAGGAGCCGGGCGACAAGAAAAATCGCGGCGTTATTGCCGCGATTAAAGTATCCTCGCTTTCGTTTCGTCGCGGTTAACGACGGAGCCGGCCGATTGTCAACGTCGGTTACGACGGGGCCGGGTACGAGCGAAACGAACGGAATTATCCGCGATGAAAGGGGTGAAACCGTGAAACGCCGAACGGGCCGGGCCGCGGTCCGGCGTTCCGCAAAAAACGATCGGCACCGGCGGAGAAGATAAAATATTTCTTCTGCGACGCGGACGATCGTTTGCAGCGCCGGGTCCATTTGTTTCTTTGCGGGCCCCGGTCGCTGGGAAAACTGGCGACAAAAGGGAACGCCACTGCACAAGCGAGCGCATCCATCGATGACTAACGCGATTCGGTCTGGGGTGTCGCGAATATCGTAACCTTTCGGCCAGCCTGCGGGCAATCGCGTTTTCAGTTTCGCTTTGCACCTGCGCGAGAGTTAATGCCACGATGGGTATTTAGAAAGAAGGACACTAGGCTGATTGATTGTATTTCAAGTAATTTCAGGTGTTTCGACACTGGAACTACCGAGTATTTCAACTGACTTTAGAAAATTTCAATGTAGAAACTGCGAACGTGGGTTTCTTGAGATTTGAATTGGTTTAGATTTCAGCTTTGGTGTTACTTAATTAGCTCCTTTAGCAATTTTTCGGAGATATTCGCCCATCTTCGGTGATCGCGAGAGAAAAATCAAGGAATGGGTCAGTTTGATCTATTTGGTAGGGTCTTAATCTATTTGATCTTTGCGAGGATGTTGATGTGAATTCAGGTTACGTTTCAGTTTTCGTTTACAACTGGAGAATCATTAACACTATTATCGTCGTTGATCTTTGATGCAAGAATATTGATGTAAATTCTAATTGCTCTTCATTTTTCGTCTACAATCGTACAACATTAACACTGGAATTGCATATTAACACCTAATAGAATTTCTTGCCTACAATTCCCCAGAAGTTACATGAACCAATCGAAATAACGATAAACGCATTTGTCTATAATACAAATCGAAGGAAACTCCATCTAAATCTATAATTTACTAACACAATCTTCCAAAGCAAATTTCCATTAAATCCGATTTCTAGGAACGTGTTCGAACATAAAGTGATTGCATCCGAGAAAGAAAACAGACCGGCGTTTTTGGTTCAGTCGGAAGAAAGGAGATATACAACGCTCCAGTGGCGCGGAAACCGCAGCGCGGCCGTTCGAAAAACACGAAATCGCAGTTCGACGGCCGATTTCCTGGATAATGATTTTAACGGCGTCGTTTATGATAATGCGTCCGCCGCGTTTAACGTAAAAGTGAAAACAGCCGTGGAACCGTGGAAGCATAACCAGATAATGGCTGCGACTGATACGCGGTTGCGCCGACGAAATGAATTACGAAATCCGTCCGGCATATCTTTTCCCGCCGGCCAGCCCGGCGAGCTGCGTGTATTTATAACCCTTTTCCATTTCGCCTGCGTCGCGTCGCGTCGATTAAATGTCATTTCGCAAAGATCTGAAAAGGCCGGCACTCGTCGGACGGGTATCGACAAATCACATTCGCGGCGCGTCTGAAAAGCTGGCCTGGCAATTCTCGCTCGGACGCCTCGCGCGATCCCGCGAGTTAATTACGTCGACAATTACTACGTGATTACGACGAATGTTGTTCGGTTCGTCATGATTAATCATAATATAGTTGGCCGCTTTATGTTATAATAACAATCTGTCGTTAGCAAGTTTATTGAGACTAATTATGACGAATGTTGCGCGCTCGGTTCGCCGTGATTAATTTTAATAAGTTCAATGCGACATTAATTGAACGCACGCGAATTAGGAGTTGGCGTGATCAGCGAACTGTTCCGAATTCTTCGAAGGGTACTATCGATCTGATATCCTTCTATCGATGATAATCGTATTACTGTTACATTGTAGCGAATACTGATTTATTAACTAGTAAGAAAATTCTGTAAGCACTCACGAGGTGTCTGAACATTACCACACAATGCAATCAGTATTTCACGCAATATCTACGATCTTATTAGAGATGAATGCTTCGATAATTATTAGTAGCGACTGATACTAATCGATTCAATTCTAACAGCTTTCCCCTGAAATAATTGTCTCGTCCGAGAATGGGGAATAATTCATAACCTCGTTGATCGTGTCGGCGGCGTTGATCAGCGACGTTTAAAGAAATAAAACCTGCTAATTTCCTACGGGGAGTTCAAAGGAAACAAAAACCGACCGGCAAAAACTTTCGTCGATCCCCGGTCGCGATCGTTCTTAATAAATTTAATAGACGCTGTCGTCGCCGCTCGCCGTGGCAGTGAACGCGTTAACGATGACTTTATAAGCTTTTTCGCCGCCCCATAAAACACGCTTACAAATATGGCCAGTCTTCTCCAAACAGGTAATTGCGAAATCCACTTCCATTCAGCCCGGTCCGCGCAAACCGACCGAGACGATTTGTATCTCGGCCGCCGCTTTCGGGCCGATTTAATGAACTCGTGACTCTCCGCCCGCCCGGCATCGCGGCTCGTTTACATTGAGGCGATTAAAACGACGAACCGTGGCCGATCATCGGACCCCGTGTACACCGGGTCGAACATTAAGCCGTGTCGTTTATAATGAGTCCGCTCGCGGATTAATTAGGCTCGCGTCATATTGCCAAGCAATTAATAAACCCCCGTCAGTAATTACGATAGAAGCGCAGGGAACATTCCGCGCGCCGTTCCTATCTTCCCGTGCGATCAATTTACATTAGAACACCGGCGACCCTGCCATTATAACATCTGTTTGTTCGATAATTCATGAACCTCCGCATCGGTGCATTCTTCTCCCAGGCGTCCTCGTTATTTTCTACATATTCGAAAGCGCGTTCAACGTTCCAGTCCACTCGATACTGACTTCCATGTAGCGTTTAACACTAGAACCACCGAGCACTTCAACTGACTTCTCAACATTTCTTTATAAATACAAACGTGGATTTGTTAAGATTTCAATTGGCTTGTACTGCAGTTTAGGCATTGCTACGTCAGCTTCGTTAATCATTTTTCAAAGAAGAATCTGTACCAACCGCGATCGTAAAAGCAGTTAGGAATCGGTCATTTTGACCCATGGTAGTTCTAGTGTTAACAGTTAGGTATCTCTTGGGAATTTCGTAGTTTTCATTATCAACTCGAAATTTCGAATTACATGAAGCTTTTATCCGATGGTTTCAATCGATTGGAAGGAACATAAAACGAGGTTATGAACGTTTAAATCATTTTGTAGATTATTCTTAGTGAAATCGGTATTTTAGATATGCGAGGAGGACAATATATTAATCCGACGTTTCGAAAGGTGAAAGGGAATATATAATAATTTTTAATCGAAGTCTCTATTGAACGGCGTTTAATTAATTGTTTAATACACCGTGATTGAATTTACCCGTTTGTTTGGCAGTGTCCGTATGAATATTAAACCACGCGAGCCGATTAATCTCGAGTAAAATTCATCGATCACGTCTCGATAATTCGAATTAGCGAGCGACAGTATCACCGCAGTTAAGCAAGCCGCAATCTCCGAGAAAGGTGAAACATTGTGAAATAATTTTTCCGCGCACCGGAGCGTGCAATGACGAAAATAAAACCTTCGCGGAAGGATTGGCAATGGGACCGGGATAAAAATCGATCGCAGGTGTCCGGTGCCGCGCGCGAAGTCGGAAAAATGGCGGTCGCCCACTAATGCGTGACTACAAAGCCGGCCGCGTCCCGGCGCGGGAGGGGTCCCCGTTTTCGTTTCCTCGTCAACGGGAGAAAGGAGAGAAGCCTTTCTAAAGTAACCGGGTCTAAATATCGATCGGAGGTACCCGGAAGTGAAACTGTTGCTCCGAAGTTTTTGCTGCGCGAAACGGTTGCGAAGTAAAACGATGCATACATAACTAATCGATGCAATTGTTGTGACACTTGCATATGTACGCCGTAACGTTCACCGGCGGATTGCGAAACCGATCCACCGGCCGCGATACCGGGGAAAATTAATTTCATTAGAATCAGACGCGGCGTGAGGAATTATGAAATTAATTGGATCATAAAGTTCCTTCGGAATTTTCATTCGAACAAGAGTGAAATATAACGTGGCGATATCAACGTTTTAAATATTGTCTAACACGCAACGGGCTCTTGGAAAAAAGTAACTCCGGTATTTTCTCAGATAGACAGATAACAGTGTAACGAGCATGCTTCTTCGTTAAACGCGTTTCCTTGTTAACAGGCAATCCTTATTAACCCTTTGCGGGGGATTCTTTGAAACGTACAAAACCTTCAACATACGAAGCTAAATTGTACATCAATTGCTTAATTGATAGAGAAAAAGAAAACTACGTGCTGATCTCTTGCTGTTCGACTGATTAGATCATTCGTCCACGACTCAGTCTTCCGAATCTGAACATTTCGTCTCGCTGAAATGCCGACATCCGTCCGCGAAACGTTAAAAGGTACTCGAATCGGTGGAATAAAATAGGACAATTCTGCAACACTTCGTTACGTTCTACGCTTCGAAGCCAACTTGAGCGACACTCTGGATAATATACGAATCCACGGAGCGATACTTAAAAAGAATTGCGGTACGCGTGCTAACACTTGTACCGATTGCACAAACATAATCTATCCACGTCGGTAAATCCTTCGGACTGCGTGCGCACAATGAAAGCGGCGAGACGGTCATTTTTCATCGGAGGCGGTTAACAAACTGTCCGCGTTAACAAAGTTCCCGATCGGCGGCCGCAGCGGATCGCGCCTGGAGGAGCGTCGAACGCGGATCGATCCGTTGTATCCTTGTCGAGGTCAAAAACAAGTTCGATCCGGACTCGATAACCCATTCACCCGACAAGGTGCACGCTGTAAATTCAATAGCCACTTTTGCCAGCGCCGCGGCCATAGACCGGTGAGAGGTGCGACCCAGAAAACCGGTGCGGCGTCGGCTCCGCTAGAACAGACGGCTACTTGATACCGAAACAGCCGAGGAAAGTCTGTCCGTTGGACTCTTTTCCTTCTTCGAAACGGACCGATCGATCGATCGGCCTCACCTTTCTCCGCGGGTGATCCCGTAGCAGATCTAGAACGCGGATCGTTTGCACTGTCATTATGAAATTGAAACTGCATTCTCTTTTCGACGAATTTTTAACGCTCGCGTGAAAGCCGCCAGATGAACGTGAAAACGCCTCCTTCGATCCTATGGAAGCGGATCTTTAAATTCGGTCAACCGTGAATTTTTCACAAATTTCATCGTCAATGCAATTGAAAATAACGTCAGTTCTCTCGTTATCGGGTTCAGCGGCAGGAAATGAAAATTCTTCTGGGACCAACGGAATAATACTAGATCATTCTGTTCGAAGTATTTCACATGTTCGTTAGATCGAAGCTCTGAAATACGTTCGATAATGTTTATTTGGTTTCCGATTCAAAGCGAATCACATTTTTCTACTTCTTGCCCGACGGAGTTAACCGATTCGGCCAATGAGTGTCGCAATTTATGAAAGCCTTTTTATACTTTTAGTAATCGGTGTGTTTTAATTAACTTTAAGGTGTACCTCGAGTTGCACGCCGAAGAGATCTCGCGATCTACCGGATCGTGGTGTCTCTAGCTCCTGCATTTCTGCTTCTCTCTCGGCCAGTCCCATTTCTTCTAAATATCTGTAACAAGGAAACAGGAAATACGTGAACGCCGCAGGTATGTTTCACACGTTATATATCTATGCAAAAGGTATTAGAAATTGATTACGTAACTGGTAACTTAATAAGAAATATCGCTAATAAGAGCTTCGTTGTGCAACCTTATTGTGCGATTATGCAATCACGTGCAAAAAGGGCTGCGCTTCGGGTATTCGTTTATCAAAGGACACGTGGGAAATTGCCGAAAAACGTGTAACGGCTTTTAATCAAAGGGGATAAGGTGAAGAGGCTAAAGAGGAAAGCGCGAGAGGTTTGTACACATTGTCTGGCCGCGGATGGCCGTGAATCATACGAGGCACGAGGAACAATTCCAGACGTTTCCAGGTGCAATTAAACGTCTCTAAACGTTGCGTGCCGAGCGCGGCTACAAATCAAGTACCTTTTTTTTTTCGTTTTCATTACGACGGCCGTGCTTAATGCAATTAGAAGGAAATTGCCGCGAAACCCACGCGCAACAACAATGCGTCCCGGCGAAACAATGGACGCACTCGGAGCTTCTTGAACCCGCTCCGACTGTGACGATTCCGCCGACAGAGGAATTATTTGGTAATTATCCGTAATTAATCTTCGGGAGGCTGGCCACGTTTTCGTACCATCTAATCAACTTGATAAATTGTGCCGACTACGGTTTACAGTATTAAGGAAACGAGCATTTTATCAACTCCGATATAAAAATTTCTTCATATTCGTAACGAAGAAGCAGTTCTTCAATTAAACGGTTCAACCTCGGATTATCGATTACAGTATTAATGAAGGAAGCAAAGGCAAATCAGAAGAGACTTACACTGTTTGTAGTTTTATTCATTCAGCATTGGTTTAGCTTTTAATGTTGACTATTGAACTATGTAATATTGATTGGTAGTAGATATTTACCAAATTGAATCTATTATATATTATAATATTATATTATATTATTAAATTATTATTAAATCATTAAATTCAATTTGATAAATATTTACTACCAATCAGTATTATATAGTTCAATAGACAATATTAAATATTGATTGGTAGTAGATATTTACCAAATTGAATCTGTTGTATATTATAATATTATATTATACTATTAAATTATTATTAAATCATTAAATTCAATTTGGTAGATATTTACTACCAATCAGTATTATATAGTTTACTAGTCAATATTAAATATTGATTGGTAGTAGATATTTACCAAATTGAATCTATTATATATTATATTATAATATTATATTATTAAATTATTATTAAATCATTAAATTCAATTTGGTAGATATTTACTATCAATCAGTATTATATAGTTCAATAGTCAATATTAAATATTAAACCAATACTGGATTAATAAAATTATAAACAGTGTAATTCTTTTCTGATTCCCCTCTGCTTCTTTCATTAATATTCCAACCAATGATTCGAAGCTAAGCCGTTTAATTGAAGAACTGCCTTAGCCCGCGGTTCACGGTTGATTTTGTTTCGCCGAGTGCGCAGAGTGAAACGGTCGGCTCTACGACTCTTTTTGTTTAATCGATAAGAAAATGACAAGCTGTTGCGCCTGGAAACCTTCACCGTGATTCTACGTCATCGATTGTGTTGCAACCGGTGCATATCGGCAATTACGGTTTCTTTTTCTCTGTTGCCTTCGGATTTCGTTATCCCAGAAAATAATCGTACAGTTACGGAACTAGTCTACCCTTAATTCGAATCCAGTAATCACCTTTATAATAAGCTTTTACACGTGCAAAGTATGTACGTTACAGAATGTATTGCCGTCTCATTCGCCTCTCTTGCTTCATCCCGATTTTTTTCCCGGATCCGACGTTCTGCACGGTGCACTTTACAATTAATGCGAATCCTTTTTCTTCCTTTCCACGTAGTATATTGTAAAGATCGAATTTTTCCATCGTTTCGGCATGACTATTAAGAAGTGAAAGGGAACGCAACGATATCATCCGTACACGAGCCGCGCTTTCAAATAGGTTTTCGAAGGAAAAAGAAGTAAACAGTTACTTCCTGAATTACCATGTGCTCCCCGTAATTAAATGTACCGTTAACAAACGCACGCGTAACGCGAGGAGGATGATTTAGGCTGCGCTCGATATTCAACGACTTTCGACGCGTCCCGATCCGATCGCAAGTTATCGTGTCAATCTGAATCGACGCGGTTCTTCTTCGAAACAGAAAAAACAGCCGAACGTTTCGTAAAAATGCAGACTCGCTTAAGTGTGAAATATAAGTTCACACGCGCTAAGAAAAACGCGCAATGCGAAGGTCGCGCGAGTTGCGCAAGAGTGCTTGACTGTAACCGCAACACTTTCCTGAAACAATGACGGCACAAACAAAAGAGTCGTTGCCTTTTTATCGGGAGCAACGGTGAACACTGAAAATATTCCACGTTGTTATGGATGCGGGAACACAATACACATTCTTGAATATTTACCACAATTATACTTTACATATAATCATCAGTCGGACAGATGAATTTAATAGCAAAAACGCTATAACTGCGAATTCATCGATAAAAATATTCAGTTCAAGCTACGACTGATTCTATAAGCAAATAGAGAATAATTCTTCTAACTTCATACATCCATATATATATATTTATAAATCTCATCAAATGAAATCCCTTTGGTGATTGATTCAATGCTAGATTAAGTTATTACTCTTTCATGTCTGCTGCGCGAGGAAATACAGCGGGTACGTTGCCAAATGGCAACGCTATGCGAGGATTAAAACCTCCGGTGGCGTGATCGATTTTAACATCATTTACGACCCGACCGATTTCGTGGCTGCTCGCGACCCGACGCGTTTCGTGGTCTCAGTGGAACGTCCCTCTCCCGTGCATCGGCGAACGCTAATGATCCGTATCGGTGATCCCGTTAGCGTTGCTACCTCCGGAGCACCTCTGCTTCCGTCTCTAACCCACGTAGGTACACCTTCCACCGACGCAGCTTTCTTGAACCTGTCCTAAACCTACCGTTTAACACTCGCCGTCGAGCCGTTTCAGACACAGAAATGACCATAATCCAGCTCCGCAGGGTCTGTTTAAGTAGAATGTTTCAGGCTCACCGGGATTTTTACAATGGCAAATTATAATCCTCCATCCGGAGTCGAATAGCCGATTATTAGAGGGTCCCTCTAACTTACGACGCAAAGCCACTTGACATTAATTAAAGGAATCGCTCATTTTTTATCGGTAATGCACTCAACTTTACGTAGAAGATAGCATCGAGTTGAATTTCTAGTGCGTTTTCTGTTACGGAGATACATATGTAAATTAATATCAGGAAATATGTTCTATAATTGAGATGCGGATGAATATTTTTGATCAGGTTCGATTTAATCCTGACAAATATTGATGCGACGACCTCTTGAACGGATACGTGTTAGAAATTGATTTATATCTCTGCCTTTTCGCTGGAAATTATAGGATTAAGAACAATTTCGGTTCACAAGTGATGTCAAAATCGGTTCGACGGTGAATGATCAGGTAATCGAGCTTTACCCAGGGAAGAGGGGATTTTCTCGTTTCGTTTTCCATGCGGGAGCACCATGAGTCACCGTGGCTATTGCGAAATCAACCGCCGCAACCGTGGCGGAATCGCGACCGGGCGCATTAAAGCGATTTAGCGAAATTCTTCCTCCATCTCTTTTCTTTCCTTCTGTCCTCGTCGCCCGTTCCATTTCGCCGAACCGCGCGTTATGTAAATGGAACACCGCTGGCATAATAGACGCGACATCGTTTTGTTCGCCGGGTTCTACTACGTCAACTAATACGTAATTCACAATTCTTTAACTTAACCCTTTGCACTATGACACCGTTTATACTTATAAATATTTTAATGAATAAATTTAGAAGAACTACCTCAAGACTACTGGATCTTCATCCAAATTTTGTATTAAGAAGGAAAATAAAGAAATCTAAGAGATGCTACAATACAATATTTTTCATTTGTGCTAGAGATACTATAAAAACGGCTTGGAGTCGTTGGCAGATTACAAAATCATCTGGAGTGCTAAGGGTTAATGACACTGAAGAGGTTCCACTGTATAAAAATGTAAAAATTGTTGCCTTTAATATAATTTCTTTATTAAATTTTCGAAATAGCATTCTAGTTGTCATTTGTTATTTCAATGAAGAAAAATGGAAATTTTCGTATATCAGAAATATATTTGAAAATAGTCGTGGACGTTGATACATATAAATCTTTGATCGAATCAAACAGGAATCTCACGTTATTCGTGCGATGCAGTGAACAGTGTTTTAATTGCAACCGAATCAAAGGCCTGATTAATTGGTGTAATCAATACAAATATGAGAATAGTGGTACGAACATTAAAGAGTACAGAAATAAGCATGAAGCTACAATGTCATCCTAACTCATGGCCGATAAAATCAGGTTGCCTGCCCTCCTTTTTCTTTCGCCTTTGTTGGCACAGCCAAGGTGAATTCGCCTTATTGAACATGGGACACAGTAAATTGTATATTGTTCCACTTTACGTGTCGTGCGAGGGGCAATTGTGCTAATTGCCACACTCCGTCGATAAGACACATTCGTATTTTATTATTACCAAAGAACTGTATACACCACGCTGACCATATCAACCGAACTATCATTACATTTCTCTTATAGTTCCTTATCAACGTATCTAACCTTAAATGAAACACTCGAAACTCCATTCCACATCATCCTCGTATACCATCTAATCTGCATAACCAATCGCGGGTCAATACTTAACCCTTTGCACTCGAAAGTTTTTCACTAGAAATATTCAATATTCTCCGATGAGATACAGACGATGTCCTTTGAAACTAATTAACGAAGAAACATATATAAATTAAGAAGGAAAGTTATTTTATTTCAATATTCCATATATTGATGCATCATGCAAAGCTTAATATTACATACAAGACTTTATAATTTTGCGAATCAAATCAAGTGGTGACTGAGAGTCTCTTGAGTGCAAAGGGTTAAGCAACCATC